TAGGCATATCTATCTCCTCAAACATTTATCATTTCTTCACAATGAATACTTTTAAATCCTTTCTTTTAACTTTTTTGTGGTATATAATTGTTCCTAGAAATCGTCCTACTGTGTAGTAGGATATCTTGCTCCTATAACTTTGATTTATTTTATCACATGCACATTTACTTCTTGGTAGCAAGAATATAAAGAATTTCCTTTTTAAAAATTTATTTAATTTTATTTTTTAAAAATAAAATTAATGAGAAAAAAGATAAAATAACAGTGAAACAGTTTCAAAACAGGTTAGTAGGACAGTTATAATAAATCAATAATGCATATTGTTGTCTTTGTAGTAGTTATTCAGAGGGCAATATGCATATATAATATCTTGCTAAACAATATTAGTACAAACTTTTGTTCTCAGTGAACTAAGAGAAAGTAGCTGTATATCCTAACTTTTTTATTTTTTTATCCTAACTCTTGTGTATACATATATATGTATTTTTTTCATAACAAATCGGTCCTTTATTTACAATTTTGTGAAGTTAGTGACACATGACCTAGGTTGAAGAATTTCTTTTTAATTTATAATGTAGCAAAAAAGTTTGAGTTCATTTCCTCACCTAAATAGAGATAAAGAATCTACCTCAGTGTTAATGCCAAACTTTGTGAGACTATACATATGCATCATTAAGTACTGTGTCTAGCATATAGTAAGTACTCAATGAATGGTAATTATTATTCTTTTACGTGAGCTCTGTATATTTAAAAAATGCCAATTTGTTTTGTATGAATAATACTTTTGATATATTCTCACCTCCATTTTCCTAAATTAATATTTATTGAGAAAGAATGAATCTGACATGTAGAAAAATGTTGCTATTTTTTTATATTTGTTTGATAATGTTTAATAGTATTTTTTCTTTAAATCTGCAATATAAAGCATATATTTTAATGTAATTGTCACACGAAAAAGGTATAATTGAGTAATATAATTCATTGTGGTTATAAAATGCTAGCAATCAAAAAAAAATGCTAGCAATCTATGGAGTATGGGAGCAGCTGTGTTTATACTTCCTAAAGAACATGCTTTAT